GATATTCTACAGAGCAGCAGCCAGTGACTTAACCGGCGCATACACTCTGAAGGAACGGCATTCCCGTGCTGTTCCTTCAGAGCTGTGCATCATGGCCCAAACTCCTGCATGCATGCATGGGAGTGATGTCATCGGCGGCTCAGCCATTCAAGCCCGGGAACCCAGAAAGAAGACCGGGTGAAGATTGAAGTCCTGTCAGTGTTGACAGAGCGCCGCTGGAGGGTTTCATTTTAAGGTAAGCTTCACATAATGTATACTAGCACATTTTGATATTACCTTGCAGGGGGAAATTTTTTTTTAACAAGTTTATTATCGCTTTAATCTTCAAGTGGTTAGAAGAAGTGGGTGATGTGTGGTATAAGCTTCTAGTGTTAGGCATAAAATGCTAGGACAGTTCAAACACCCTCCAAATGGCCCCTTTTTGGAAAGTAGACACCCCCAGTTTTTGGTAAATAACAATTTTTTTTTTTAATACAAAGTTGTCACTTTAATGATATATTGCTCACACATTCCATGGGTATATGTGGAATTACACCACAAAACACATTCTGCTACTTCTTTTGAGTATGGGAATACCACATGGGAGAGACTTTTTTTGCAGACTAGCCATATACAGGATTCCAAAATCCAATAAGCACCTTCAGGCTTTTAAAGGGCGGTATTTCCTCAGTACCCTTTCTATCACAGTTTCAGAGGCCCTAAAATGCCAGGATAGCACAAACACCCCCCAAATGACCCCTTTTTTGGAAAGTAGGCTCTCCAAGGTATTTGCTAAGAGGCATGGTGAGTATCTTGCAGATCTCATTTGTTGCAACAAGTTTTTGGAAAATTAAGAGAGAAAAACGAACATTCCTTTTTTTCTTTTTCCAAAACCTTGTGAGAAAAAAATTAAATCTGCAAAACACTCACTGTGACTCTTATTCAATTTCTTGGGGTGTTTACTTTCCAAAATGGGGTCATTTGGGGGGGTTGTCTATCCTGGCATTTCAGGACCTCCGAAACTATGATAGTTAACTAGGAAGTGACAGAAGGAAATATGCCTTTTGAAATCCTGAAGGTGGTCATTGGATTTTGGGGGCCTGTATTTGGTTAGACTGCCAAGAAGTCTCTCACACGTGGTATCCCCATACTCAGGAGAAGTAGAAGAATGTGTCTTGGGGTGTTATTCCACATATACTCATGGAATGTTTGAGCAACAAATCATTTAAGGGACAACTTTGTGTAAAAAAAAATTATTGTCATCTTCCAGAAACTTGTGGAATAAAAAAAATCTTTCATGAACTCAACATGCCACTCAGCAAATAGCTTGGAGTGTCTACTTTCCAAAAAGGGTTCTTTTGGTTTGGGTTTATGCTGTCCTGGCATTTCAGGTCCTCTGAAACAGAGATAGATACTGAAGAAGTGAAATGAAGAAAGTACGCCCTTTAAAAAACATATATCCATGGCATCTGTAAGCAATATGTCATTTAAATGACAACTTTGCGTAAAAAATATTTTTTTTTGTCATTTTTCCAGAAACTTGTGGCAAAAAAATAAGATATTCCATGGACTCAACATGCCTATCAGCAAGTAGCTTGGGATGTCTACTTTCTAAAAAGGGGTCATTGGGGGGGGGGGGCTTGTATTGTCTTGGTATTTTAGCACCTTAAGAAATGTGATAGGCAGTCAAAAAGTAAAAGCGTAAATTCCAATATACTGTTTATTCCATAGTTTGTAGATGCTATAACTTTCACACATACCTATTAATATACACATATTGGGATTTTTCTTTATCAAAGACATATATCAAAATATATTTGGACCTAAATTTGAGTTTTTTGGATTTTTTTTATAACAGAAAGTAGAAAATATAATTTTTTTCAAGATTTTAATTCTTTTTTCGTTTATATAGCAAAAAAAATAAAAACAAACTCAGTGGTGATCAAAAGTGTGTCAAAAGTGTGTAATTTATCAGCTCTGAGATTAGACAGGAGATGGGTCACCTGCTAGGGGGGGTGGTCATACACTAGCCTGACACTCCACTGATATGTTAGCTTTGGCAGGGAGAGAAAACAAGTGACTTAAGTAGAAGGAATATTCATGCACCCTTTTCCTATCATTGTTTTATAGCTATTGATACTGTCCTTTAATTGGTATATATTAATTATTCTTAAACATTGTGTCATTTGTGGGGTTTCTTTTATTTAAATGTTGCATGGCAGTTGGTTGGTGCTGCCATCTTGTTGGTTGGCACTGAGGTCATCAGCCTGGCCAATAATAAGAGGCATGCAAAGTTTGTTAAAAAAAACTCATCTGTGGTTGACAGTGGGAGGAAAGGTGGAGGAGCGTGAGCAGAGAGGACTGAGACTTGGCTCCTTGAGTACAACTCTGATCGGTGATACCTGGGGGCTCCAATGACACCCAACATCAGGAAATGGACATAATTCTCAATGCCCCACTGCAAACAGACTGTCACTGGTGAGGACTTAGGAAAACAAATCTCCAATGGGACTCCATCTACTGGGCACCTGTCTAAACTGAGCTGCCTAACTGACTCCCCCCCTGCTGAAACTGACTGCTAGGGAACTGTGGAAGAGGCTCTGTGATCTAAGGATGGTCTGCCCTACATACACAAAACAAGCGCAAAAAAAAGCAACATGTCGCTGTGTGGTAAATGCAGCCTCACTTATGTTTTATTATTCACTGCATTTCATGGGTGGTTTATATATCTTCATACTCCTGGAAGCAGGGCCAGGGCAATGGGCACATGACTCAAGCACTGTGTTGTGCACGGTGTTTGCCTGCACTGGATTGCATGACACAGAAGTACTATGTGATCCAGCTCAAGTGAGAGTTTACAAAAGTAGAGCATGCACTGCTTTTGTGCAGTGTGCTCGAATTTTAGCCAATTTAAAATGACTGGGCTGAAAGCACAGCAAAGAACTGAATGTGATCATGTTCCTGTGCAATTCCCAGTGTGAACCGGCTCTAAAAGTGAAAGAGCTCAGACTAAGGGAGATCAAAGTAGGAGAAGGCAGCACTTCCCTTTGGATCAGCAGGGGGGACCAACAGGAGTTGTCTATGGCTAGGTGGGGGCTGTCCGGTAGGCTGTCCTCTGCCCCATAATTTCTAATGACATCTGCAGTCAAGCATTTTCTCCTTTTAATGTCATGTCTTAACATGGCAGTTAATGGTAGCAGTCAATGGAGACAGATGCTATGGAAGCCAGCAATTGCAGCAGAGCAATGCATGGATGCCTGTCACTAGTAATGCCATTGGTGCCCCCAACTTCCCTCCCTTATATTACAACAGCTGTGCCTGGGGATGGTGGGGAGGGTTTGGTGCAGCCACTCAGAGAGGAGCGCCATCACTTCTAAATGTGGAAGCCGGGCTTCTGTATTTAGAAGTGACATTAGTGAGCAGAAGGCACCAGAGCCCTGTTGCACTGGGTGATTTGGGTGTGCCTAGGCACATCCAGCACACCCTGGGCACAAGCCTATGGTGTGGTAAGGGGCACGGCAGAGATCAGACCGCTGGGGTGCTATCTGGGGTGATCAGAATGCTGGTATGGGGTATGGCAGTGATCATGATGATGGTATGGGGTATGGCGGTGATCAGGATGCTGGTATGGCGGTGATATAGATGTTGGTATGGTGTATAGCAGTGATCAGGGCACTAGTATGGTGTATAGTGGTGATCAGGGAGCAGGCGTTGTGCATGGTGGTAATCAGAGAGCATCTCATACATGTAGTGTAGCGCCACTTGTATTTTTGCCCAGGTTTCCACAGCCAGGTACACACACACTATTGCTCGTTGTCTTCAATGATCAGTCTAGGGGATATTTGTTTTTGTTTTTTTCAAAATTAGAACTATTCACACTGAGGACATCAAGCTGATCTCTTAGTTGAGCACTCTTTAAGTCCTGGCTGAAAGCAAATAGCTGACTTCTCTTTAGATTGTAGAAGCAAGTAGTTTAAGGGTGAGCAAAGTCTCTTTTTCAGTATTAGTAGCTCCAGGGCAGAGTTCCTCAGGCACAAGCTAGCCACGACAGACTGCGACAGCCCAAAGGTAACTTAGCTGAGCAAAGTCCTATGCAGTAGCAACAATTGGACAAGCACTTCAGAACACTAGGCAGTGTTCCCTTTCCTTTTCAGACCCATGCTGACTATCAAGCACCAGGGGGGTAGCAAGCACACAGAGTTCTCAAATTCCTCAATGTCTGTACTCATAAGGCCCAAGGACAGAATGGTTGCTTCCTTCCAATCTTCCAAGCGAAGCCCTCCAGTAATACCAGACAGAGCTTTGGCAGACAGCCCCCTTCAGTCAACTTACTGCAGAACCAGGGTCATTCTCTCAGACTTCAGGCCCCCAGGTCGACCACCTGGGACCCACATGGCAGCTAGTGACAGACGAGGCAAGCCTGTCTCCAGCCTGGCTGGTTCAAACCTCTCCCGAAAAGACACTGAACCCATGTGCTCTAAGAACATAAATACCACTCCCAGCATGCAATAGGACTGCCCTGCCCTGCAGTTGGCTAGGACTGTATCCATATTCATACTGTTCATTTACCTAGTCCCTACCCATGTTCTGGAAGGCTCTCATAGCTTCCTGATGGTGGGCAGAACTCAGACAAACTCAAACAGCACCAGAGCATCATGAGCAGACCTGACTAATCCCTCACAGCACTCTGTTAAGCATAAAGCTGAATTAGATTTTTCTACAGCTGTGCTATACCTAACTATACAAATCCTAGCACCTAACTAGGAGGGTGCTACACCAGCATCTGGATCACCGCTAGAGTTGCAACCTCATCCCTTTAAAACCGAACACATTAATTACACAGGTTCTGTGGCTGATTAAGGTGGTAATTAAACTCACTTAGTGCCTTATCTGGATTAAATTGGCCTCAGAACCTGTGTAATTAATATAATTCCATTTTAAAGGGATCAGGTGGCAACCATAATCACCATCATACCCTATACTAGTGTTCTGATCACCCCATATTCCATACCAGTATCCTGATCACTGCCATACCCCATATCAGCACCCTAATCACCGTCATACCCTATACTAGTGTTCTGATCACCCCATATTCCATACCAGTATCCTGATCACTGCCATACCCCATATCAGCGCCCTAATCACCGCCATACCCCATACTAGTGTTCTGATCACCCCATATGCCATACCAGCATCCTGATCACTGCCATACCCCATATCAGCGCCCTGATCACCGCCATACCCCCATACTAGTGTTCTGATCACCGCATATGCCATACCAGCATCCTGATCACTGCCATACCCCATATCAGCACCCTGATCACCGCCATACCCCATACTAGTGTTCTGATCACCCCATATGACATACCAGCATCCTGATCACTGCCATACCCCATATCAGCTCCCTGATCACCGCCATACCCCATACTAGTGTTCTGATCACCCCATATGCCATACCAGCATCCTGATCATTGCCATACCCCATATCAGCGCCCTGATCACCTAACTAAGCCTAAACCTGCTCCCACCCTCCATTCAAAGCCTATTCTACCTTGTAAAGGAGCAGAGCAGGGTGAATGACAGGTCAGTTTCTGCAGAGCGGACACATACAGACCCCAATCTGCTCTATGGGTTGCTAGGAGTAAACAGACTCCGGTGTCCTTTTACACCCGGCTACCTCCGTTCTGGTCCACCCAAATCAAAGAGTACACAGTCCTCCTCCATTTGTTCTAGTGGGCCTGATGGGACCCGGAGGTTGGGGGGTGTAAATTGGCACAAGTCCTATTATACCCGCTTGTCCATAGTAATGTATAGGCCATCTAAGCAGGTCCACTGAAAAACTGACAGAGGACCTGATTGGGTCCCACATGTGAAAGGGCCATAAAAGGAAAGATGTCTATACTTAACTATGCTGAGGGTGCTCCTGTCACATAATCGGGTCCCAGCACCAGCTTCAGTGAGAGGCAGCTGACAACGAATGCCCCATTGTAAGCCTATCGGTGATGTCATTACCCAGGCTTTGCAGCCATTGTCAGCAATCTCTCCTCTACATTGAAGCCCCCGCTGCAGAGATGTGACCGAACCAGTAGACTTCATAATAGGTAAGTATAGGCATCTTTCCTTGAACAGGGTAGCTAGAATACTCAATGGTTAGCACTTCCGCCTGGCAGTACTAGGGTTGTTGGTTTGAATCCCAACCATGGCATCACCTGCCTGGAGCTTGCATGTTCTCCCTGTGCCTGTGTGGGTTTCCTGCGGGTACTCTGGTTTCCTCCCACACTTCAAACAGATGCTGGTAGGTTAATTGGATCCTGTCTAAATTGTCCCTAGTATGTGTATGTATGAATGTAAGTTAGGGACCTTAGATTGTACACCCCTTGAGGGTTAGGGACTGATGTAAATGTACAATATATATGTATTCGCTGCATAAATTGACGATGCTATATAAGCACCTGAAATAAATAAATATTGTTCCCAGTTGCATCCACTTTGTTATAATACCACTAACAGTTGAATGTGGAATATTTAGAAGCAAGGAAATTTCACAGATGGACTTATTGTACAGGTGGTAACTAGAGATGAGCGAATCGAACATGGCGAAGTGGAATTCGTTTCAAAGATTAGGAAAAATTCAATTCGCGCCGAATCCGAAAATTAGCAAACTTCGGATGCACGAATCGAATTTTCCCAAAAATGGCGGCGACATGTGTGGCGACGGAGCGGGGATCTCTGGGAAGGCGCGCAGACAAGGCGCGCTGACCCATAATGCATTCATTCATGACATGTGATCGCATTAGCCAATCAGCAGCCAGCCAGCCAGCACTGTGTAATGGTGGAGCTATAAATCGCGGCCATCTTAGAATTCTCCATTAGCCTCCGGTCATTCAAGAGAGACAGACCTGTCTGTATTAGGGACAGAGTTAGGGCCACAGAGACTTTAGGGCCACAGAATCGTTACTCAGGGACACAGAATCACTCAGGGACACAGAATCGTTACTCAGGGACACAGAATTGTTACTCAGGGACACAGAATCGTTACTCAGGGACAGACACAGAATTGTTACTCAGGGACACAGAATTGTTACTCAGGGACACAGAATTGTTACTCAGGGACACAGAATTGTTACTGAGGGACACAGAATCGTTACTCAGGGACACAGAATCGTTACTCAGGGACACAGAATTGTTACTCAGGGACACAGAATCGTTACTGAGGGACACAGAATCGTTACTGAGGGACACAGAATTGTTACTCAGGGACACAGAATTGTTACTCAGGGACACAGAATTGTTACTCAGGGACAGACACAGAATCGTTACTCAGGGACACAGAATTGTTACTCAGGGACACAGAATCGTTACTCAGGGACACAGAACCGTTACTCAGGGACACAGAATTGTTACTCAGGGACACAGAATTGTTACTCAGGGACACAGAATCGTTACTCAGGGACACAGAATCGTTACTGAGGGACACAGAATCGTTACTCAGGGACACAGAATCGTTACTCAGGGACACAGAATCGTTACTCAGGGACACAGAATCGTTACTGAGGGACACAGAATCGTTACTGAGGACACAGAATCGTTACTCAGGGACACAGAATCGTTACTGAGGGACACAGAATCGTTACTGAGGGACACAGAATCGTTACTCAGGGACACAGAATTGTTACTCAGGGACAGACACAGAATTGTTACTCAGGGACACAGAATTGTTACTCAGGGACACAGAATTGTTACTCAGGGACACAGAAGTGTTACTCAGGGACACAGAATTGTTACTGAGAGACACAGAATCGTTACTCAGGGACAGACACAGAATTGTTACTCAGGGACACAGAATCGTTACTCAGGGACACAGAATCGTTACTGAGGGACACAGAATCGTTACTCAGGGACACAGAATCGTTACTCAGGGACACAGAATCGTTACTCAGGGACACAGAATCGTTACTAAGGGACAGGCACAGAATCGTTACTCAGGGACACAGAATCGTTACTCGGGGACACAGAATCGTTACTCGGGGACACAGAATCGTTACTCGGGGACACAGAATTGTTACTCAGGGACACAGAATCGTTACTTTCTGCTTCACAACCACTATTGAATTAAAGAGTATGTCAGACAACACGCAGAGGAGTGGCAGAGGAGGCAATGTTTCAGGAGCGAGCAGACGTGGCAGCAGAGGAAGGGGTCGAGTCAGCACTAGTCGCAGCCAGAGGCCAGTGCTCCCGGTGTCATCCAGCGGTCGTGTCTCCACCGACAACCCTGCCGTCATCGATTGGTTGACTCGGTCGTCTTCCTCTTCCCAGGTCACCTCTGACACCTACAGCCAACGGTCGGTGGGTACGTCAGACACAACCGTTAGTTGGCATGGCCCGGGAGCAAGCCCACTGAAATCACGTGTCCTCTACCTGCCCCTTGTCCTTTGGTGTTCCCTCACCAAGCGAAGTATCGCATGCTGTGGGCTCAGCCCCACTGTACAGTGAGGAAGAGCTAACAGAGGGCGGTCAGGAACAGGGGGAGACATCCGCCTCTTCAGCAGCCAGGCGAAGAAGTACTGGCGAGGAGAGTGGCTCGGTAGCCGGTCTAGAGACAGGTCTGTCTCCTGACCCACACGCAGCCGAGGGGGCTAGTAGTGACGCGGAGACCCTAATTGATGATGATGAGGCTGATCGCACTTGGCAGCCTCGTCGTCATCAGGCTATTGCTTCCGCATCATCAGGAGAAGAGGGTGCCAGCTTGCCAGCGAGCAAAACAGTCGGTGGGTTGCCCAGGAGGCAGCAGGGTCACAGCAGTGTCAGTGGAGGCAAACGGCCACGGAGTAGAGCACCAGCTCCACTGCAGCCTACCACCACGGCCAGTAGTGGTGCCGGTGTGCACGGAGGAAGTAGCAGTCAGCCAGTGAGGAGTAGCGGGGGCAAAGTTTCCTACTCGGCGGTGTGGCAATTTTTCGTCAAGCCGCCCGAGGAAGTAAACGTAGCCGTATGTCGACTATGTGGCCAGAAAGTCAAGCGTGGCCAGGGGGCCCACTGCATATGCTGACAGCGTTGCGTCAGCATATGCAGCGTCGCCATTCGGTGGCCGGGAAAACCGTGATAAAGATACGGCGGTTCTGCTGCCTGCCCCAGCCCCCGCTCCATCACCCGCTCCGTTACTTGCTCCGTCACCCGACGTCAATCGCCCTCTATCAGCCAGTCAAGGCTCCAACACCTCTGCTGAGGGGAGTTGTCGCTCGTTGGCATCTTCCGCTCGTTCAGATGCTCCTTCTCCTGCTACTCCTCTTCACGGATTCCGTCAGCAGTCTTTCTTGGAATCCGTTTCCAAGAGACAACAGTTTGCGAGCACGCACTCCGACGGTGCAGAAGCTGAACGTCCTCCTGTCCAAGTTGCTGGTGCTGCAGTCCCTCCCTTTCCAAGTGGTGGACTCAGCACCTTTCCGAGAAATGATGGCTTGTGCCGAGCCGCGGTGGAGAGTGCCAAGCCGGCATTTCTTCGCCAAAAAGGCAGTACCAGCCCTGCATTCACATGTAGAAGAGATGGTGGGCCAGTCTTTGAGCATGTCGGTCTCTGCCAAAGTGCACGGCAGCGCCGACGTGTGGAGCTGTAACTACGGTCAGGGACAGTACATGTCATTTACGGCCCACTGGGTGAACGTGGTGCCGTCACAGCCGCACCAGCAACTTGGACAGGTCACGCCGCTTTTGCCTCCACGTTTGCACGTCCTTGGTCCAGCAAAGATGTCCGCCTCTACCACCTCTTCTTCCGCCGTGTCCTCAGCCACCACCCCCGTGCCAAGTCCCATTACCCGACCGGCATATCACATGTGCAGGGCGCAACGGTGTCACGCTGTGCTGCACCTGGTATGCCTTGGCGAACGTAGTCACACAGGGGAGGAACTTCTGAGTGTAATGAACAGAGAAATCGACAGATGGCTGTCTCCGCGCAAACTGAAAATCGGAACCATGTTGACCGACAACGGAAAGAACATGGTGTCTGCTCTGCGTCAAGGAAGGTTGTGCCATGCGCCATGCATGGCTCACGTGTTCAATCTGGTTGTCAAGCGGTTCCTAAAATCCACCATCCCACTGCAAGACATCCTTAAAATGTCACGTAAACTTTGCATGCATTTCAGCCATTCCTACACCGCAAAGCACACCCTCCTTGAGCTGCAGCGGCAGAACGGAATTCCACAGCATCGCCTGATCTGCGACGTTGCAACAAGGTGGAATTCAACCCTACATATGTTAGACCGCCTTTACGAACAGCGAAAGGCCATCACCGATTTCCTGATGTTACAAGCGGATAAAGGTACTCCCCTGTGTAACTTAGATGTCAGCCATTGGCAGCTCATGCGTGACACCTGCCGCTTGCTCAGGCCCTTTGAGGAGGCCACGCTATCCGTGAGTCGGCAGGACTATGGGATGAACGACGTCATTCCTCTGTTGCACGTCCTGGAACAAATGCTGTTAACAATGGCTGGTCAGGGTGCGGTAGACGTGGCGCACAGATCTCAACGCCACATGACCCCTGTGGGGGCAGGACAGGAAGAAGAGGAGGAGGTAGAGGAGGACATTGGTGCTCAGGAATTATTGAGTGAAATGGGTGGTTTTTCCACTCAGCGGACAGGAGTG